TGTGTATGCAGGGATTGAGAAGGTTGTGGAGAACATCAAAGAGTCGATTCCTAAGGTAGAGTGGGATTATGAAGGGATTCATTATTTTGATAACGGTCCGCTTACGGTTCAGTACCTCCTCGTCTTGGATGCTTTGAATTTCTGCTTTTGGCCTGGTACGCTGTTTTCTTTGCTTTTCTTGGATGAATTTCAGTGTTCTTATGGATTGCATGTGGTGTAATTGGATTCATGTTTCATCCATGGTTTTTGTTGATTATGAATTTGTCTCTAGGATTTTGTCTCCTAGGAAACTGCATTCACGTTAAGATTAGGTGAAATTTGCATTTCAAAAACATTATAAGGCTTATGTTCTGCTTATAATTGAGGATTTTGCGTAGGAAAGTAACTCATTCTAGATTCATTACCTTTCCTTCCCGGAGAAACAGAGGAGGTGATTGTTTTTAAATCATTAATAAATAGTATAGTTGTGCTTGCAAGCCTTTGTATTCCTTGCTCCAGAGACATAACAGTGGTGCCATTTATTGTCTTTTATTATTCACAAACTTGAAGCATTTGTATTTCAATCATAATTTTTTTCCCTGAATTTTAAGTTAAGGGGAAATTGGTGTGAGTGGTGGAGATATGCTTGAAATGAGTAAAACTAAATGGTTCAATGGCAAAAATTGCAATAAAAAAGTTAGATTTGATTCCTTGGTATCTGAAACTTGGAATACCAGTTAACAAATCTTTAATTTAGTTGTTTGTTAATACTGTTCAAGCCACTCTTTTTTGCGGTTCTTGTGGTTTCCTAACTTAAAAGCTTCTTTGTCTTTTTTTACTTAAACCCTATAGATAAGGATCTCACTTATGACCATCTTGCCTCGGGGTTAAAGGAAGCTTTGCTGAATGACAAATCGGCATTTGATGCTGATCGCCTCCAACAGTACACTGGTACATCTGCTTTCTTCTTTTAGATCCCCATAGAAGTGTTAAGTTTTGCTCATTGTACCAATAACATGCATGCTCCGAGGCATGCATATAAATATCCCTTTTTTTTTTTTTCTTAATTACTGGTTACTGGATTTTCAAATGAAACAGACCATCATTTTATGTTGGCTAAAATAAAAACTTGGTTTACAAAATTGGGACTCTCTTACTCAGAGATTCCTGGGATCTTAATATGCATTGATGAATTAAAGATGAAAATGGAATGGGAGTCTGTTTGTCTAAATGAAATTCTATGCTTGATTGAACCATGAAGCAAATGCAACTAGCATTGCGAATTTATCCTTCCCTTGTTGCTGAAACTTACACGTCCCTCAGACACACATGTAAAATGCTAAAATAAGCAATTATTTCATCCTTATTCTAGACTGAATGAAGTCAATATTTTAACATTCTCATTGCAGAAATACCTCTTATGTAATGTTTCACGTTGGTAATGATGCTTCTCTTATATCACATGTCCAGATTGTTCATGTGTTCTGCAATGTACTAAACTCCATGCTGGAAGTTTTTGCATCAGCTAAGAATGATTAGATGAATCCTTCTTCTTTTTTTTTTTTTCTTAAGGTCTTCAATTGCGTGAATTGTTGAAATGGCCTAGACCACTTCCTTTAGAGGATGAGCGGGTTCGTCTGCTGCATGAGGTAAAATCTGCCTTCAATACTGAGTTAAAACTTTTGTTGGGTTTCAATCTCCGGGTCAACATCTCCCCCTTATATGTTTGTGTGTTTTTAAGTTTTTTGATGGTCTTGTTTTTTTCCATTCAGGTCTTCTGTTGACAATACATGCTATCAGTTTGTCACTAACAGTAGTGAAATCAGTTATTTGATTTGATTAAATGTCATGGCTTAGGTTGGGCTTGAACTGGAAAATAATTTTGAAGGTAAAGCATCCAAACTTGTGGAATCTTGTGGAAAATCAGCTGTCAAGCTTGTGGCTCTTGTTACACGTTATTTTCCTGGTACCTTTTCCTTCAAGTTAAATTTTAAGTTATTGTCTAAGATAATAGTTAAATTTTTTTCCAAAGAGATTAATTGTTATATGACATAATTGAAAAATTAATTCCAATTATAATTAAAAATATTGTAGGGTTTCGAGACCACTCCGTTTACAAAGGCCACCAGGTGTTCTTGTATAAAAGAGCACAGATATTTGCTGCAGATTTATGGGGTGCATTCAAGGGCCAAGGATATGGAGAATTCAATGACATTGGCTCAATCACTATGTTTGCAGACTATATTGTTCCAGCTGTACTCAAGCAGCTCAGCGTGCTAAAATATAGCTCTACACTTTCCAGCATTATTGATTCTAACCGCGAAATAGGTCCAGGCAGTGAGGAGGAGATTGAACTACGAGCTTGCACTATATATGCTGTGGAGAAAATGAGGGAGTTGATAAAACTTAAATCAGGAAAACAGGTAGGACAATGCACATTTTCTATTTCGTTTTTTTTTTTTTTTAATCTTTCATATGCACTTAGCTTCTTTTTCTTT